ACCTGTCACTGTCTTACCAGGGGCCACCTAACTGACCTGTCACTGTCTTACCAGGTGTCATCTAACTGACCTGTCATTGTCTTACCAGGTGCCATCTAACTGACCTGTCACTGTCTTACCAGGGGCCACCTAACTGACCTGTCACTGTCTTACCAGGTGCCACCTAACTGACCTGTCACTGTTTTACCAGGGGCCACCTAACTGACCTGTCACTGTTTTACCAGGGGCCACCTAACTGACCTAAAAAGCTAAAATAATTACACACTATTTACTTCATTCATATACATTTATTATTTAATAAAGCTTACTTTTTAACATGGTTTATTTTTTCGTTCGTTTTTCTGAAACCTCATATGTTCGAAATTAAAACTCATTGATTAAATAATTTTATAATGAATGTATTGTTTTCAAAACAGTGAACAAAATCTAGCCAAAATTGTTCAAAGTGAATTTTTACTTTTTTCAGTATAATAAAACATTTTGATTTGGGTATGACTAATTTTATTTGCTCTCTTTTCTGACATACAACCTCTTGCACAACGAAAGTTGTGTAATTATAAATCCAGCAAGATATTAAAACCAAACCTAATTTTTTCCTTGCAGATACTGATATTACACAATGTAACCTGTAGTGTTATTAGTCTATACACAGCAGCAGGTATGTTATATGGAATACTTGAATCAAAGTCCGTATTCCTAAAAGCATCATCATCAACACTGTATCACTTCTTCTATGTTTACTGGATCACTAAAAACATAGAGCTATTGGACACCGTTTTTATGATTCTCCGACATCGACGAAGACAGATATCATTCCTCCATGTATTCCATCATTCAAGTATGTTATTGTTGACCGACTTTTGTCACCGCTACACTCCGTGGCCTGCTATCGCTTTTGTAGTCGGTTTAAACTCGGTTGTCCACGTTGTCCTGTATGCCTACTATGCCCAGACTGCATACGATCCATCACGTGCACCAGCTTGGAAAAGAAACATGACGCAGATGCAAATTATTCAGTTTTTGCTGGGACTTGTTCACCATACTTTTGGGTATATTTACCACGGTTTTTGTATTTATGGCTTTCTTTATGGTGTAGGAATGTTGTACATGTTTTCTAGCTTTTACTACCATGCTTTTATTAATAAGAAAAGTTTTACTACATACCATTACAAAAGAGAAGTTACTTCTACCAGGAATATCAAGTATGATTGATTTATGAACCGAATCATGCTATTGGTTGAGGATGTATGGTACAATTTAACTTCTGCAATGTGCACCAGAAATATATAAAGGCGTGTACAAGTATGAGTATAATGTCAACCCGGAAAAACTGTATTATATATTTCAGAAATATTTTTATATGTATTTTGGAGGATTTATTTCTTCCTTGTTTTTTCCTCCTTGTAGGTATTGAGTATAACTACATATAAGTGCAAAACAATAACAACATTTTTCAGGAAATTACTCCAAATATACTTATTACAGATTCAATTTTTTTTTTTTTTTTTTGAAAGTGTAATTTTTCCTCATAGAGCCTGTGTAATACTATGTACAGGTAATATGATTTTCTCAAAAATTAGTACAGTGACTCCTGTTTATTTTTGGATTTTTGCTATAAAAAGCTCATTATCTGTATTATTACCTCTATTATTAATCTCTTATCGAACATCTTTAACCCTTTGAGCACCAAATTTTTTTTTTACCAAAATTTGAGTAAATTTTGTCAATTTCACTGAATTCAATCTTTTTAACAGATAAAATGTTACATTACTTGTGGATTTTGATAAAAAAATTGACCATTTATGCAACATTTTATGTGGAGGACAAGCAGACTATAAATGGAACTATTTTCAAAAGTTAAGTTGTAGTTGGTGCCTGAAGTTGACTTTAGTGCAAAACGGGCTAATATGGTATGCTACTT